GAGAGGAGGACACAGTGAAGCTGTACTACAGCTCCACCTGGTTATCCCTTCTCCTATCTCACCATCCATCTCCCATCCCACCCCATTTACCCAGCCACCCATTTGCACCTATTCACCCAATCATCCACCCCTCCATGCAGACCAGGTTGTTCCTCTGGGTAAATAGTCCAACCTAATACATCCACCCACCCATCTCACAACCTACCTGTCCTCCTACAAGCCCTCTACTTATCTACAGAAGTTGAGATTGGATGTGAGGAAGAATTTCTTTGCTGCAAGGGTTGTGAGGCATTGGAAGGGGTTGTCCAGGGCAGTGGTGGAGTCCCCATCCCTGGAGGGATTGAAGAGTGGTGTAGACACAGTGAGGGGACTTGTCAGTGTTGGGTTCATGGTTGGACTTGATGAGCTTAATGATTTGATGTTTCTATGACACAGAGGAGAGGTGGGGGCTCAGCACTGCATCTTGAGCAGATAACTTCATCCTCTTAATAAGACAGCTTCATTCTCACTTAGAATTATCAGCCACTGAAGCCAACTCAGGTTTTTGGGGTTTTTTTTTTTGCAGACAGGTAGACAACCCGTATCTTTAAGAGAGCAACGTGACAGGCAGGATTGGGAAAGGAGCAGCAGGGTTTTGGGGATGCACGTGGGGTTCAGGTGAGGACACACAGCTCTGATTCTGCACTCTTGGGGTTTTCACAGAATCCCAGAATTGCCTCGATTGCAAAAGCCCTTTAAGATCATCGAGTCCAACCATGAACCCAACACTGACAAGTCCCCTATGACTAACCCATGTCCCTCAGCAACATCCTGAGCGATGAGAGGAGCCAAGGCTCTATCCCAGGTAGGTTGATCCAACCCAAGACCTCACCAAGCTCTTAGAGCATCTCGTTTTCCACCATGGCAAATCACTGTGCCTGGGTTGGATCCCAATCCATGAGTCCCTGTTGAGCTGCCAGGAGTTGGGCTGAGCTTCTCCCCAGACTAGGGACTGAGATGTCTCTGATGGGAGAAGGAAACCACATTTCTACCCCATTTCCAAGATGCCAGGGCTGGTAGGGGCTTGGCAGGGCATAAAATGACCCAGCTGAATCCAGCTCTTCTCCAAACCATCATCTCCATCCCATTGTCAGGGTCAGACCTGGGCACTTGGATCTTGTCATCCCCACTGGAGACTATTTTCTACTGCAGATATGTTCCCTTCCCCACCCTAAGGAACCTTCAAAGAGGTTAATCCTTGAGTGAGAAGACAAGGGATGGTCTTCATCTACCTGGCTATCCCCTGGCACGTTGGAAAGAGAACACAAGTATCCTGAGCCCTGTGCACCTCCAGGCACTGGCCACCCCCTCAAGGATCATCACCCAGCGTGAGAAAAGCCTCTTGGTCAAAGCCCAAGGTGCCAGAGGGATGGACACGAGTTAATTCACAGAATCCCAGAATGGTGGGACCTCAGGAGATCATCCAGTCCAACCCCCCTGCCAAAGCAGGGTCCCTACACCAGGTTGCACAGGAAAGTGTCCAGGTGGGTTTGGAACATCTCCAGAGATGGAGACTCCACCCCCTCTCTGGGCAGCCTGTCCCAAAATAAGAAATAAGGAATTCATCCTGAAAAAAAAGTCACTTTTGGCAAAACTCAAGCCCAGTAATTTTAATTAAAGTCATTTCCCTGGTTGGACGCTGCCCACGGAGGGGTCCCAGCTGGGCAGACCCCAACGGAGCATCCCCTGGAGCAGGGATGGGTCCCCCACTGCCTGACCAGGAGGAGCTCAGCACCATGGTGGTGAAGTCTCAATCCTGCCCGAGGCAGAACGCTGCAGCTCCTGGGGGGATTAAAGGTGTCCTGAGAACAACTGAGCTCTGGTGATCAGCTTGGCCTCCAGCCAGGCCATATTAAACCATCCCCCCCGCCCCGGTAAGCCCTGTTGTCTCGGGGCTGATCCCAGTAACCCCACCGGCGGGTGAGATTAGCGGGATAAACCCGGCCCAGCCTGGGCTCTCCGGAGACTTGTGAAGACGTGAGCACAGTTTGGGCTCTTTGAGACACGCCGGCTAATCCATCCCGGCTCTGAAAACAAAAGGGCAGCTTCCGTCACACCATCCCCTTCTCCTGCCACCATCTCCTGCTTCTGGCACTGTCCCTCTCTCCTCGTGCTGTCCCCTTCTTGTGTTGACCCCTTGCATCATCCCCCTCGTCCTTGCACCATCTCCTTCTCCTTGACTCATCCCCCTTCTTAATAGTCCCCCCTCTCCCTGAATCATCTCCCTCTTAAATAATCATCCTCTCTTAATTGTCCCCCTTCTCCTTGAACCATCCCCTTCTTAAATGTCCCCCTTGAACCATCCCCTTCTTAGTTGTCCCCTCTCTTCTTGAATCATCTCTCTCTTAAATGTCCTCCCTCTCCTTGAATCATCCTCTCTTAATTGTCCCCCTTCTCCTTGAACCATCCCCTTCTTAAATGTCCCCCTTGAACCATCTCCTTCTTAATTGTCCCCTCCTCTTTGCACTGTCCCCTTCTTATTTTGTCCTCTTCTTATTTTGTCCCCTTCTCCTTGCACTGTCCCCCTCACCTGGCATCATTCCTCCTCTCCATGCACCATCCCTTTCTCCTGGTGTTGTCCCTTCTCCTGGCATCACCTCCTACTCTTTGTCTCATCCCCTCTCCTTGCATCATCCCCCTTCTCCTTGCACCATCCCCCTTCTTAATTGTCCCCCCTCTCCTTGCACTGTCACCTTCTCTTTGCACTGTCCCCCCCTCTCCTTGCATCAGGTTGCAGACCTGCCCAAATAAACCCTCCACCTGGGTCCCTTCTTCCTCCAGCTCCAAACCCAGAGCAGATATGGAGAAAACATGGTTGGCAAGAGCTGGTGCTGCCCAGGTGAGTACCCAGATGTCCCCACTGGTGCTGCCCAGGTGAGCACCCAGATGTCCCCACTGGTGCTGCCCAGGTGAGCACACAGATGTTCCCACTGGTGCTGTCCAGGTGAGCACCCAGATGTTCCCACTGGTGCTGTCCAGGTGAGCACCCAGATGTCCCCATTGATGCTCTTCTCTTGGAGGTCCAGGGCCGTCAGTCCTCACTTGCTTTGCATCCTTACCAGGAGCTCCCCAGCTCCCAGTGGAGTCCACCCTTGTCTCATCCCCAGGCCAGTGTCCAGCCCAAACCTGCTGGATTTGAAACCTCTCAATCTGCCTGAGGAGGACCAAGCAATTAAAATTGAGGTGGTAGAAACCCCATCGCTGGAAGTGTTCTCGACCAGGTTGGATGAGGCTTTGAGCAACCTGGTCTAGTGGAAGGTGTCCCTGCTGCTGGTAGGGGGGTTGGAACTGGATGAGCTTGAAGGTCCCTTCCAACCCAAACCATTGTATAATTCTAAAACTTGTCTAACTCTTGCCCAGCTGAGATGGCTCTCCAGGTGCCCAGCTCACAAAGCCACCACCAGCTCTGCTCTCCAGGTACATTTTCCCTGGTTTTCCCAAGTTTCCTGGCTCTGAAAGCTCTGGAGAGCAAGATGCCATCACTGGGTTGGGATGTGTGAGCTGCAGGAAGAGTAGGGCTTTATGGTGAAGATGCTACAGACAGGAAGATAGAGATGGATGGACCATGAGTGGATGGACCATGAGACGGATGGACCATGAGATGGAGATGGATGGACCATGAAATGGATGGACCATGAGATGGAGATGGATGGACCATGAGTGGATAGACCATGAGATGGAGGTCCTCTACAAGGACCTGGTCTCTGGGAAGACCCCAGAGCTATTTGAGAGCACAAGGAGGTATCTGAGCACTCAACACCTTTGGGATGAGCCCGGCTATGGGGCTGATCATGAGTGGGATGTTCAGGTGGCCCTCACTCCGCCAGACCTCCAGGACTTGTTCCCATGAACAAGCCCTCACTGAACACTTGCTGCCACTGCAGGTAGGTGTTGTTCCTCCTCCTCTTCATCCTCCTCCTCAGGCACAAATGAGCCCAAGATTTGCATAAATAATTTATTTTATTATTATAATAGAATAATTGGTGCCTGGAATATATTAGCTCCGCTCCCTGCCCGCTGTGGTGCAGTCACATCATCCACACCCAAAAGTGTCCCCAAGGGGCGAGTCAGCAGCTCTGTGTCACACTCTGTGTGGGTGCTGTCCTCAGGGAGGAGGCAGTGTCCTCCAACTCCCCTGAGAAGTCCTTGTCCTCCTCACCATGGTGGCTCTGTGAGTCGGGGCTCCTCTGGGAGGTGGTTAACCCCATTTTGGCCAGTTTGGCTTGTTGCTGTTCCAGACTTTGTTTCCTCCACTTGATCCTCCGGTTTTGGAACCAGACTTTGACCTGAGGAAGAGGTAAAACTTGACTTTCAAACCCAACTTTTTCAAACCAAGCTTCTCCTTGGATCATGGGCTCATGGTCTGTTAAACCCCCCATGGTTCAGTCAATGTCCTGACACTCCACGAGCCTTTAGATGCCCACAACCTCAGATATCTTCCAGCTGGCCAGGAGCAGAGGTTCCTGGCCACACTCTGTCCCCATTGAGATGGAAAACTGTCCCCTGCAACCCAGGAGCTGAGCTGGGATCTGCCAGTGGTAGAGAAGATCCATCCTGAAGCTGGACACAAGTTCAACCCCTCCACCTAGAGCCACTTTGTGGCTCAGTTTCCCCATCTGAGATCTTTTAACGTAAACTCTCTACAATTACTGCCCCACATGGCTCCTCATCCTGAGGGACACGGCCAAGGTGCCACCCATTGGCACACAGGTTTGAGAACCTCCTCAGGACCTTGTGGTGGGGGGCAGGTGGAGATGGAACATGGTGGGGCTTACCTGCTCTTCAGTGAGGTGCAGGGAGGAGGCGAGCAGACACCTCTCCGTGCCCACCATGTACTGCTGTCGCGCAAACTCCTTCTCCAGCCGGGCCAGCTGGTCGCTGGTGAAGATGGTCCGGACCCGCTTGGCTTTGCCAGTCTTGGCTTTGAAGACGGGGAAGCAGCACTTGGAGATCAGGAAGCCTGAAGGTGAAGGAGAGAGAAGGAGTCAGGGTGGAGAAGAGCTCTTGGAGGGGTCCCCTTTAGAGTAGGGTCCACCTTGGAAGGTCCATCCTTGGTGAAGTAGAAAGGATGTCCCCATTTGGAGGTGACCCCATTTGGAGGTGTCCCCTTAGGAGAGGTGGAAGGGGTGTCTTGGGAGTGGTCCCCTATTTGAAGAGGTAGGAGAGGGTCCTCCATTTAGAGAAGATCTCGTTGGAGAGGTGAACAAGTCCCTCTTGGAGAGAATCCCTTTGAATGGAGTCTCCATGAAGCAGTAGAAGGAGCTCTCCCATTTGGAGATGTCCCCCTGAGAGAGGTCAGAGGGTCCCATTTGGAGGGGCAGAAGAGGGCACTTGTTGGTCCCCCATTTGGAGACATCTGAATGGGAGGGGTGAGCAGAGGTCCCCTGCCAGAAGAGGTCCCCTTGCAACAGGGGTCCCCCATTTGGAGAGGTGGCCAATGGTCTCCCCTTGGAAGAGATGGAAGGAGATGCCCCATTTGGGGATCACAAGAGAGGTGGACAAGGGTCCCCCTGGAAGAGATCTCTTGTAGAGGGGTCCCCCAGAAGAGGTGGGCAGGGGTCCCTGCCTTGGAGAGGTGAAAGGAGATGACCATTTGGAGATACCTCCATGGGAGAGGTGGATTCAGGTCTTCAGTCTTAGAGACATCCCCTTTGGAGGAGGTCTCCTTGGGGAGGTGGAAGGAGATCACTGTTTAGAGACATCCCCACAGGAGAGGTGGATTCAGGTCCCTATTTGGAGATATCTCCATGAGACAAGTGGACAGGACCTTCCCTGGAAGAAGTTCCCTCAAGAGAGATCCCCCAGGAGAGCCAAGGGTTTTCCTGGAAGAGATGGAAAGAGGGTCCCATAGGGATGTCTCCAAAGAGAGGTGGACAGGGGGCCTCCTGGAAGAGATCCCCTTTGGAAGGGGACCCCTTCAAGAGATGGAAGATCACTGTTTGGAGATGTCCCCATGGG